CATCATAGTGCATCTTTATACCCCCCACTCATGTTAATGGAAGCTTTAATGGGAGGACAGAGCTGGAAAAGAGAGATAAAAGTGTAACTTAACATCTGATCTGTATTCAGTGCTTCGCAGTCGCCTCCACTGCGCTTGGCAGCACGTTGACAAAGCTCATTGATATTCAGGGCGGGAGCGGTGTGTGATTTAAACAAGTAGCGTTCAAGTCAGAACCAAATCTCATTTATGACTCCGTGCTCTCGCTAATATTAAAGTCAGGGCAGGCAATTTGGGAAAGACACAAACACATTAAGGAGAGAATGAAAGCTCAGGTGGCTGTGTGAGCGGAGCGAGCACCATGGATGAATTAAACGGAGTAACCTGAGGTGGGCCCCTTTAAACGGCCATAAAAACACAGATACAGACTTGGTTGTAGATGTAACCTTTGCTGCCAATCAAACTGAGTGTGGAGCTACGCCTCAGTGAAGCTTCCCTGCGGATGACATCATTGTTGATCTTTAATCAACATGTTGGACGACATGTTTATTTAAACAAATGACCACTAACATTTTAATCTGAAAAACTCACACGGAAAGAAAGAAGAATTTTACTGATACAATTACTTTAGTGTTTGGCGCTCAGACCTCTGCAGGAAACATTAGAGCTGAATTTGCTTTTATATGCATGAACAGGACTAAAGAATAGTGATGTTTCCCTCCAGGCCTGAAACTGGTGGTGGAGTGGAGATAGATGAAGATGGTCAGTCTGTAGAAGGCTTCCAGCCGTACATGTTTGAGCCCTTGCCTCGCAACGCTGCCAGTTCTGTTAGCTCTACGCCTGCCGAAGACACAGACGTCCATCCCCGTGAACACTGGGACGCAACTCAATGGGAAAGGAAATGATTCTGATTTCTTATTTCAACCGTTGCGTATATTAGCTGCGACATATAAATCAAGATGCTATGACCGAAAAAAGTTGATTGACAGATGACCGTTGATATATGATTGGCTGAGCTTAGGTGTTCAGGCTGACGTATTACTAACTGGCCTGCAGAAGATAACAAAAAAAACACAGAATTTCAGACAGGATTTGTTGTTTTATTGGAAATTTTCTACATTTTCGGTCAATATAGTCTAATAAAGAGTACATTTACATACATGTTTAAGCCAGAATGATTTGGCATTTAAATATGATTTCCCTACGACTTTAAATAACACTGGGATTCCTTTGACGTTAAATGGAGCCTAGGCGAAAGTTGAACTGAATAAACTAATTGCTCTCCCACATCCACCTACAACACAGCCAATCAGCTTTGAACCACACCTCAACGAGAGCCAATCAGCATCCAAAGTTAATCTTAAAAGTCCCCCGATCTGCAACTTGTCCGCTCCTGTGCGCAGGACCCTGTTTCAACCCCCCTCCAGCCCCTCCTCCACCATTGTAGCTCAAACTTCATCAGAGTATCATTCCTCCCGGACTCTTTCCGCGTTCTGCGTCTCATTTCAACCAGTCCAGTAGAAGACCACCATGTTGAGCCTGGGTCTGCCAGAGGTTCTTCCCAACGGGGAGTTTTTCCTCTCCACTGTCGCTCCATGGTTGCTCATCATGGACAGGTTCTCTCAACCTGTGTTATCCAAGCTGGACTTCCATCTTCCAGGTCCCTGAGTGAAGCTCTAATGTCAGCTCACGCAGTCCACTGGATCTCCCCATAAAGCTCAGCAGACCGTCTCTCCAACCAGCAGTCTACAGACTGACCAAATTAATCTATCTTCACTCCACCACCACTTTCAGGCCTGGGGGGGAAACAGCCCTGTTCTTTACTCCTGTTCATGCATATCTATCAAAATTCACCGCTATGTTTACGGCCGAGGTCTGAGCGCCAAAGACAAAGTAATTGAATCAATAAATTTCTTCTAAATGTGTTTTTTCTCTTCGTGTGAGTTTTTTCAGATTTAATTTAATTTCGACAGAGGACTAGGATTAACTCACACGCATCAAAGCATCATTTAATGAGGCAAACCTCAGGTTAGCATTACTTCATGCCTCTCAGGTTGTAAACAAAAAGAAACTCAGAGGCTGCAAGATTACAGACCATTAATAGAGACGATGAATCGTCACAGCAGTTAAACAATTTATGAACTCACACATGAGGTCATATACTGGATGTCCTGCTTTCTCTTTCACTGGTGTCAGTGTGACTCTACAGAGAAATTCAGCCGAGGCCATTAGCTAGGGCCAAGAATGCATCACTGTCTGGTGGAGTTGGGGGAGTGCACCACCGCTAATGTAGTGCATTAAGTGTTTTACATTAATTGATCATGATCATTAGTTGCAGACATACTAGCTTCAGACAGGTGCTTGCTGGTGACCTGGAAGAATACAATCATATATTTTTTCTTCCAGCATGTGCTTTAGGGGTAGAATTGCAAGATGCTGAAGCTAATTACTTTTTAAACTGGTGATTTCTATGCAGGGTTGGAAGAGAAAGCGAATGGGTGAGGGATTGGAGGTTCATGAATTTGAATGTGATTCTAAACATATATAACAGTGAATAAGTAGTAGACATAAAAATGCATTCTGTTTTTAAGGAAAAACAAAAAATTGAACTGAATTTATGGTTAGAAAAATAAAAATCCTATCTTGTAATTATTTTTCTAAAGTAAAGAAAAAGTATTTATCTGCCAGCAGGGGGCCCCCAAGAGTTGTCATAATGTTTTCTGCCTACACACATTTTAAGTCTTAAATTAAACATCCCCAATATAACATTGTTTTCAAAACGGTTGCAGTTGCTTATGAAAATCAAAACTTTTATATCTATGTGTTGATTTGTAATTCAATTAATCATCGGTTTGGACGTTTACTGAAGTCACATGAATGTTTAATGTATTTAATGTTTAAATAAGATTGCTCATATCCTTAAAAGTTTTATTTTTATTTTGGATCAACCATAAAGTTTGTTTCTGATAATAAGGCACAACATACAATCATATTCGAAAAAATACTTTTTTTTACATTTTTTATAAGGAACACTTTAATAGGAAATATGTTGAAAATGAAAATTTGTTGTCTTTCCACTAATAAAATAATAATTGCTCAGTAACTTGCAGTGTGAGGAGAGGAAAATTACCCTCCAGCAGCACCAGAGCCAGGCTCAGTGTGAGCTGCTTTCTACAGCCGCCGACTGGGAGTTTAATAAGATGATAAATGCTGTAAATCCTTCAATAAAAATGTAAAGCTCCTATTTTATACTGTTAGTTTTAAATCTTATTTTTATTTATTAGTCAGAGTATCCAGACAACACAACGGTGTGGTGATGTCCATAAAAATTACTGATATGTGAGGTAGAGCTAAAAAAAAAAAAAAAAGGGCTAATTTTCTCCCTACTGACATGCTTATTCCAAACCTCCATCTTTAACATTAGCACGGGTTTCTCCCATATGCAAACATCAATAATATGACCAGATAGACCATATCAGCCTAACCTATCCCACTCTGCAGAATCTGTTAGTTCAATCTCTAACGTTCTGCTCTCTCTGCTTTTTCTCATAGTAGCTTCATCTGGTCTGTTCCTGTTTGGCTGTGACTCCATCCTGGAGAGAAATATCAGCTGTGCTGCTGCCATCAACACCTTTGTTTCTAGATGTTGGAGATCGGCTTGTTTTTCAGTGTAGTCCTGTTTCTCTGACTGTGACTAACTGGATGTGCTCTCTTCATCCTCTGACATGGGAGCTGGCTCGGAGCTCGTCTGCCTGGCTGTGTGTTTCCTGGACGGCGGCACCTTTTACAACTGCTTTCTGTATCTCTGCTTCTGTCTCCTTGAACCCCAGTGGGCCTCAGCAGATGGCCGCTCACACTGAGCCTGGTTCTGCTGGAGGTTTTTTCCTGTTCAAAGGGAGTTTTTCCTCTCCACTGTCGCTGCATCATGCTTAGTGTGAGGGATTGCTGAAGAGTCAATGAGTCGATGCAATCAACTGGTTTTCCTTAGAAAACTTTGAATCAATCTGAATGGATGATCTGGTGAACTGGAAAGTGCCTTGAGATGAGATATGTGGTGAATTGATACTACAGAAATAAACTGAATTGAATTATAGATCCTTTATATAATGTGTTGTGGTTAAAGCTACAATTTTAACTCCTTCTGGCCTGTAAGATGAACAACTTTGCTCCTTCATTCTCTCTGTATCTGCATATTATCTGTGCTGTTTGGCAGCTGGTTGCTAGGTCTGCTAATGCTAACCAAACCAAACCTTTATCTTACCAGTCCATAAGAAAAGTGGCAACCTTGAAATGGCACCTGAGCCCTTTTTCTTTCTTAGAGCATGTTTCTCTAAATGTGTTGAAATTTCCTATTAAAATTGCCTTAGTGATACTTAAAAACGAATAGTTACTTAAAAAAGGACATTGTTATATTTTTCACACGTGGAAGATGCCATTTTTAATGCTGTCATGTACACATCTGCTGATCGGTATATGAGTGTCAATGGAGGACCCGGATCTTAATACACTCTCTGGGTGGCGGGATGTCATGGTCCTGATGGACCACTGCCTCCTGCCAGAGAGATGAATGTAAAGATCGTTGTTTTTAGCCCCTGGAGGGCCATGAAATAGTTTTGGCTGTGGATTCAATCCGATCAAGCCTTCTCCGCTTTGTACGCTTTGTTGCCTAGCAACCAAAACAGTTGACATGCTAGTAGGCAAAGAATGGATGCCAAACTTCTCATTACTGTTCAGGGTGCTAATAACATTTCTGAGGAGGTTCAAAAGCAGTGCCATCATCAGACATCAGATTTATAGTCCCCACACTGCAGAGATATTGGAATCTGAGCTTAAATGTCAGCCAAACCCATTTGCACAGGGAGAGATAAAACCTTTCAATAAACCAAACATTGTCCGCCACATATTTTACTCAATAACCATTTAAAGTGACAATTTTATTTATTTTAGGTGGAACTATACACATACTTGTATTATATTAAATTGCACTTGCAATATCGGCTTACTTGGACTGGCAATGAATCATGGGATACCCAAGGCTGCATAGGATAGAGTGGACCTGTCCTTCCACACAAGAAGGCTACATTTATCGGCCGCTTAACGAGGAGTCAGAACTGCGCTATGACGTAATCAGCCGACGAATCCGGCCTTTAGAGCAGCGGTCCCCAACCACCGGGCCGCGGACCAGTACAGGTCCGTGGGTCATTTGGTATCGGGCCACACAAAAAAAGTATATATATATAATTTATCGACGATCAGAGTCTGGGTGATGTCTGGGTGATGTTATATTTTGAAAAATATAAAAAAAATGCTGTATTCTCTCCCAATTACATCAGTGGGTGCATCTGTGCCTCTTGACACAGGTTAATTCAGTTCAAGACGCATTCTATCTATAACATCCTATCTTTGTGAAGCGGGATTTTCTGCGGTTACAGCGACCAAAACAAAGCTACGGAGCAGACTGGACATCAGGAGCAAACTTAGTCAGTCATTTTCTCCGATTACGCCTAGATGGGACCAGTTTGTAGTTTTATTTTTATGCTGTTTGTATTTGATTTTATGCCAGTCGTATCATTTTACTTGATCGTATGAACCCCCCCCCCCGGCCGGTCCGTGATAATATAGCGGTCGGTAGTGCAAAAAAGGTTGGGGACCGCTGCTTTAGAGGACAGAGTTGCTGAATTGGAACTCAGCATGTAGCAGTTTGTGTCCAGGGTGGGAGGGATCAGCTGCAAACATACAGTTTATCCATGTGCAGAATAACTTATTTACATTTGACTGTAAGCTGTTTATCTCAAAGATTTTATTCTACCTTACATCTGGAGGCACAACTGTCCTCCAGAGGACAGGCTACAAAGCTTTGCTTCATCTCTATAATCAGGTTAGATCATTTTACATAAAAACAGATCTAAAGTTATTATTTAAACGTTATAAATATGAGTGGTTAATAATTGACGTGTTAACAAATTAATCTCTGTTAACAAAGCCTGCACTCTGAGCAGTGGTGTAACTGGATGCATCTTTTCCTTCCGATTTCTGAGAACTTTTTGATTGATTGCAGCAGCACTTCAGTGAAATCTCTCAAATCCTTAACTCTGAGTCCAATCGCTTTCATTAGTTGCTATCTGCTTTATTTTCAGTTATCTGCGATAAGAAGGGTCTGATGAATGTTTGCTGTCTTCCACCATAGTCACTTACCTCCGTGTTATCCTACAGTGTGCTCAAACCTGGTGGCTGCATTTGCTCTTTTGTCTGTGTGCAACCAGACAGGGTCGGTGACCTTTTTAGAAGGTGATCATTTAATCAACCCAGACAGCCTTTCAGAGACCACTTACCATTTATCTGCTCTACAAGATTACCCCCCCTGGTGAAACAACAAACTGATCGAGTCATCGTCCCATGACAAGAAAATGACAGAAAGAAAACACAGAAATCAATGGCTCTGCAGTGAGAGTTAATATCTTGGGAATTATGGAGGCGGGCCTGTCCTACAGCCATCGTTTTTCTGGATCTGCAAACATGACCTTTATCAGTTTGGCTTGATGCTCAGCAACAATAGGAAGTTGGTGCAGATTTAATTTTTTTGTATTGAGTAAACTAAAATATATTTCACAGGGACTGAAAGAATATGCAACAAATTTGCTGGTCAGAGGTTTGTATGCACTCACTGGTCGTAATATTATAATTTATTATAAGTTTATTTTGAGTGTTGATGGAATCACTGATGATGAGGAATAAGAGGAAAAGTGCTAAATAAAACCAGCCTCATTAACAGCCCTCTCTCAACCACTGTTTCATTTAACAGACTTTCAGTTCTTCCTATGTATGTTTTAAATGAAAAAGCTCCATTATTTTAATGTTTATATGCAAACCTTAATGTAAGTGTTAAATTTGTGACCCAAACATTAAGCTGAACTCCTTGCTCATTTCATTCACCTGTCTAGTTCTGTCCGGTTCACTGCTCGTCTGATCCACCTGCTCCTGCTTCTATTTAAACTCCATGGTCCCAGCCATCAGTGCCAGATTATTCTTGAGCCTTTGGGTTTGAGAGTTCTGTAGCGTTTCTATTGTGATCTGATTGCCTGATCCTGATCAGTTTCTGTCTGATCTGTTTGCTCTGCCTGTCTTTGGACTCCTGTTGGATACTTCTGTGGACTTAACCTGGGTCTGCCTCTTGACTTGGCCCTGTGGATTATCCTGCCTTACTTCGTCAGATCGGATCTCATTTCCTGTCAGCTCTGCAGCCTTATAGGCTTCTGCGTCTGGAACTATCTGGCAGCATCCACTGCATCTTGTCAACCCGACCAGCTTGAATCATTCTCGTTCTCTGGACAAGCACTGAACTGTCAAACCAGATTAGTGACTCACACGTTCATATTCATCCACCGTCAGATTATCGTAGTAACCTGTTTCTCTCCAATAGAAGTTCCTGTCTCAGACGCCCCTAGCCGCTACAGCCACCGCTACTGCAGATCCTTTCCGTCAAGGTCTGAATAAATGCTTTTTAAGTCAGTTTTAAGTCCACTGTCTGTCTTACCTGAATTCTGGGTCCTGCTTTCTGAGCCAACACAAAGAGCTCCACTTTAACAATGATAGAAAGCTCTCTTTATCTTAACAAAAAAGTATTGTTACAAACAACATATGGTTGGGTTTTTTTCTCTGCAGCAGAGCAGAGGCTCTTTTTTATTTATCCTGTGCATCCGAAGTGTCCTTATCTGTTTCTGTCTGAATCTAATGAGAGAAACTGAGCATATCTGTTTATGGGGGACATCACTCCCTTCTCTCCTTTTTGGAAATAATAATGACTATTTTATTTCATTTTATTTCATTAAAACAGGTCTGGGGTTAAGACTTCATCAAAAACATAAGCTCCAAACATGAAGAGAGCAGGATATAGCATTCACACTTAGACAAAAACCACAGGAAAAAGAATGAAACAAATTTATTAAACATCTGCATTGTTATCCCCAAGTAAACATAAATAATTTCAAAAGAATCAAATAATTAAATGTCTGCATCTCTATTATAAAAAATTGTGTTAGTCCGTTCTATGCCACCATTGTCAGAGTCTTGGTCTGTTTGTTCCTGTTTTTCTTGGTTATCCAATTGTTGTCCTATGCTGCCCTCTTGTGTCCTCCCTTGCTCTGTTTCTCTGTCCTGCCCTCACCTGTTTTCAATTCCCTCGTTAGCTCTCTCTTATTCTCTGTCCCCTTTAAAAGCCCTCCCTCTTCAGTTCCTGTTTGCTGGATCCTCGTCTAACTTCTGTCTGTGTTCCTCGTCTCTCCCTGGCTTCTAGTTTTGGTTTACCCCGATGTCTCCTTGGTTCAGGTGTGTTAGCAGTTTTCTGTTGGACTCTGATTCCTGCCCTTGGATCTGTGAACTTCAATAAACCGACTTTAATTCACCTCTGCCAACTGGTCTCTGCATTTGGGGCCTCCAAACAAACACCGCCTCATGACAACCATTGTCCTATTAATGCACCAATCTCTGAATGTAATTTAAACCTGGAGAAACTCACATAGAGAAAAGGCATCAACAAGAAAAGTTTTGCTGAAAAATATGTCTTTGTTGGAGAGGAAATATCTACATTACCTTATAAGGTCAGAACACAAATACTGAAACAAGCAGTTTTATTTTAAAAACATGCAAAAAACCTCCTTCTTTTCCCCCTTTCATTCCCACACAGACCTCTACAAACAGATTCCCTAACTGTATTCATGTTGTTGTAATTAGTATTTCTAATTACAACAATCAGAAGTCATCCATAGCAAACAGTATAATTATCTGTTCACTCTTATTTAGACTTGTCTGTTTATTTTCCCTTATGTTTTTCGCTTATCTTGGCCTTTGTTTATGTTTTGTACTGTTTTCTGTTTTATTAAACCTCCCCATCTAGAAAGAATGTCCTATAATCATATTTCTGTTAAAGTATGATGTCACATGGTAATATTAAATCAGAATAAAGTTATTCTCTGCATGGAGGGGAAATAAATCAATAAAGGAAAGACATGGACATAAACTACTCTCCAAGTGCACGTTGATCATTTTATGTGTGCCGATTCAATACTATGAGGTCATATCACAAGCATGAATACATGCTCCACCTGTGTACTCTTGGCTTGATTTCCATGCACCCATAAAGTGAGAAGAACAAAGTAAACTGTCTGTGATTAGTTTTTCAGAAGATCCGGTTCCATAAAGTAATGTTTTCTTCCTATTTGCGGCTGTAACGTTAGCAAACCATCTTCACGCTACTCTCTTAAAGAGTTGAAGTCTGACTTCATATCCAATTAATCTCTTCATTCATTCAGTGCTTCATCTCTGTCATCAACTGACAGGTTATAAACAAAATGCTGGACATAAAATAAAAAAAATGCTTAACAGTAGCTGCAAGCTAATTGTAATTGTAAACAACTGTGTTCAGCTAGAAACTGGGGTTCATTCAAGCCTTAATTTCCCAACATAATCAGTGAAGCTAAAATTAGCTTAGCTGATGTGAAGTTCCTTTTTTTTTAGCATAATTGTAGTGCATAATACTACTGCTGTTTAGTTTTGCTTTAATGATGTCTTTAATAAAAAAAAATATTAACATTTGGAGGAAAACAGTGATTAGCGTAAAGATGCTGATGGTACCATCCGCAACTAGGAAGAAGACAGTACTGCCTCAAGAGGTGGGATTCCCTGAAAAGTAGCCAGTCACAGGCAGTTTACTTCCTCAGTAGCAACAATTTTTCAGTCTGACTTTTTGATTACTCCACAGCCAGTTAATAGCTACAACGCTTTTAAATATTTGACCCTTATCATTCCTTATTGAAAGCGCAAATCAATAAAACCTGTTCTAAATGTAACTTTGTATCGTCCACCAGGTCCTTAATCTGAATTTTTAGATTAGTTCCAATTTGATCTGGTGTTAAATACTGACCTGGTCATCATAATGGGGGATCAACATCCATGCTTACATTGAAGGTGATAGCTTAAATATATCCTTTAATACTATCTTAGAATTAATTGGCTTTGTTAAAAATGTGAATAGTCCCACACATTCTCATCTTCATACTTTGTGCGGACGTACGGCATTGAATGTGAAGGCATAACAGTTTTCCTCATAACCCGTCCTCTCTGACTGCTTTTTAGAAATCACGTAAACAGAGTTATCCTTCCCCGAAAGGTGCTATTTTAGCAGATAATTATCA